TTTCTAGACTTCAGCAGGGATCGAACCTGCGAATTCGATGTTCAAAGTCAGAAGCGTTAACCACTGAGCTATGTACATCCCGTAAACTCTTGTTGCTAATTCATTTTCCTTATTCAACCAACTACTATCAAGTGCAGCTGATTTGCCGCTATTTAAATTCGACAGCGTGGTTGTTGTTGTCAATTCTATACATCCATTTGCTTATTTGCTTTTTTGTATAGTTTCAGGCAGGCTCTTCCTAAACTATGTATTTGTCAATGTTATTGTGGCTTGTTAACATTTTATTTTTAATATTTTTATTGAGCTTTGTACCACGATTGTTTATTAGGAAAAATTGAAAAAGCAACAAAGTCTAAGCGGTAGAAGTTATAGCACTATTTCGGAGATCACCACATCTCCTCATCAGACTTCTTTTTCTAGACTTCAGCAGGGATCGAACCTGCGAATTCGATGTTCAAAGCCAGAAGCGTTAACCACTGAGCTATGTACATCCCGTAAACTCTTGTTGCTAATTCATTTTCCTTATTCAACCAACTACTATCAAGTGCAGCTGAGTTGCCGCTATTTAACTTCGACAGCGTGGTTGTTGTTGTCAATTCTATACATCCATTTGCTATTTGCTTTTTTGTATAGTTTCAGGCAAGCTCTTCCTAAACTATGTATTTGTCAATGTTATTGTGGCTTGTTAACATTTTATTTTTAATATTTTTATTGAGCTTTGTACCACGATTGTTTATTAGGAAAAATTGAAAAAGCAACAAAGTCTAAGCGGTAGAAGTTATAGCACTATTTCGGAGATCACCACATCTCCTCATCAGACTTATTTTTCTAGACTTCAGCAGGGATCGAACCTGCGAATTCGATGTTCAAAGTCAGAAGCGTTAACCACTGAGCTATGTACATCCCGTAAACACTTGTTGCTAATTCATTTTCCTTATTCAACCAACTACTATCAAGTGCAGCTGATTTGCCGCTATTTTAACTGGACAGCGTGGTTGTTGTTGTCAGTTCTATAAATCCATTTGCTTATTTGCTTTTTTGTATAGTTTCAGGCAGGCTCTTCCTGAACTAAAAATATTAAAAATAAAATGTTAACAAGCCACAATAACATTGACAAATACATAGTTTAGGAAGAGCCTGCCTGTAACTATACAAAAAAGTAAATAAGCAAATGGATGTATAGAATTGACAACAATAACCACGCTGTCGAGTTTAAATAGCGGCAAATCAGCTGCACTTGATAGTAGTTGGTTGAATAAGGAAAATGAATTAGCAACAAGACTTTACGGGATGTACATAGCTCAGTGGTTAACGCTTCTGACTTTGAACATCGAATTCGCAGGTTCGATCCCTGCTGAAGTCTAGAAAAAGAAGTCTGATGAGGAGATGTGGTGATCTCCGAAATAGTGCTATAACTTCTACCCCTTAGACTTTGTTGCTTTTTCAATTTTTCCTAATAAACAATCGTGGTACAAAGCTCAATAAAAATATTTAGAAAAAAAAAAGTGAACTATACTTCAATAAGGTGAACGAACTAAAAGTAAACTAATCTTAAACTGAACTAAAAAATCCAACTCTAGTGATCAGCGATGTATTTTGGTGCGCTGAACACGATTCTGGGACTCAAAAGTGCCCATCACGCTTTGGTTTTGAGAGAAGTGGGGGTTCAAACTAAAAAAAAATTTTGTTTTTGGGCCTTTTTTAAGAAAAACGTGATGATTGTGCATCTATTTATACAGATCATTTCGTTTGGGATCCTACATAAATACGTACACACATACATACGCCATATCTATGCATACATATATTTACATACATTCTTGCGATTTACGACTCCATTTGGCAACGCCAACTGGTTTGAATCTTTTCAGTTTTATTCTGATTTCGCACTATCTATTATCATTTTATTGTTTTTGTGCTTCCACAGCGCGCGTTGGCAGTCGACAGATGCAGGCGCTTACTCCGGAAGAACGAGCAAGTGCAGTTAACCATTTGGCTGATTTATTGGTAAGCAGGGAAGAATTCATTCTGCAAGCCAACGCAAAGGATTTGGCTGAGGCGAAGCGTCACGGTTTAGCGAAGCCATTACTGTCACGTTTATCCTTGAATTCAGCTAAATTGAAGAATTTGTCTGTCGGATTGAAGCAGATTGCCGAATCCAGTCATAAGGTTAGTGGGAAAGCATTTTGTGATAGTTTTAGTATACATATGTACATTAGACTGCATCACTCCCCATACAAAAAAAATCGGTAAATATTAAAACTTAAGCGGGCTGAACCGATTTCAAAATACCTCCAAAAATGTGTTTGTTATGAATAAAAATAGTTTCTTAAAGATGTTTTTTGAAAAATCCCCTCAAATGACAAAACGGTTTAAGCTTAAAAAATTTACATAAAAATATTAAAAAAAAAATTTAAAAAAAATTTTTACGGAATCGTAATAATGAGATTTTTAATGCTGTTTTTTTAACTTTTTTCAAAGATTGGTATAAGGAAAACTTGAATAACTGAACCTAAACTCTTCCGATCTCGACTTCTGAGGTATCATTGGAAAGGTACTTTCTCACTCTTTTTATTTCTTTGCTAATTAGCTCATTCAAAGGATGAAAGAGGAAGGTAGGATGAACGAACATCATTCAAAGTTGAATTAAGATGTGTTGGTATTTGAAAAAAAAAAAAAAAAAAATGGGCCACGAATGACTTTTTTTTGTACATAAATAAAAATAGTGGGAAAATTCCTTTCGACCGAGATCCCATAAGTCTAAATCAGAATAGTCCAGTAGTTACTAAAATATCGCAGTTTTCGTATTTCTGAAAATTGCCGTTATATGAGAAGTGGTCGTGGTTACAGTCCGATTTCGCGCATTTTCAATACCAACCTACCTTGGATAAATGGAAACCTACATACCAAATTTCGTTGAGATATCTCAGTTTTTGCTCGAGTTATTGTGTACACGGACGGACGGACAGACGGACGGACAGACAGACATGGCTTAATCAACTTCTCTATTCATTCTGAGCATTTGTGTATACATTTGTCTATATCCATCTCGATTCGTTTTGGCTGTTACAAACAACCGTTACCCTGCAGGGAAACCGCGGACTAGTGAATCAAATTTCTAGTTCCGTGCTAGGTCTTTATCGCCAAAAAGGAACTAGTCCGATAGGAACTAGATCCCCACCAGACCAAAATCGGCGAAAAGTGGTACTTTTAAAAAACTAATTTTTTCAGTTTTTTTCACTAGAAATCTATATCTAAAGTAACGAATTTAGAAATGGTTCGGAACTATAGAAAAAGGGATGCAGAACGAACTAGATCTTATTTGTCGAATTTAGAACTAGTTCGGAACTATCGAATAAGGGATGCAGCGGGGGGCTTGTTTACTTTACATAGATATGTGTTCGGGGGCTTTTTCGTTCAAATACGCTTCTATTCTGTGCTTCGCAGATGCTTTTTCATAGCTTGGTAATACAAAACTAAAATTTGTGTTAACATTTCAACATCTTGGGACCGTCAGGAATCTAAGAAATAACAGTGAGCACCTCTGAAAACTCAGCTACAGCTAAAGATATGTAAACGTACATTTCTTAAAATCATTCAAACAAATTTAATTTCAAATTGAAAACACATTTCTTCCAAAATAACTTAAAATCGCACACACGGAAGAACCAAAAAGATTGAAAAATCATGATACTTTTTTCTTTCGTCTGTCGATTTTAGAACTGGTTCTGAACTATCGAAAAAGGGATGCAGCGGGGGTCAATTGACACTTCCTAGGCCATCGCCATGTTAAATTCGCCATTTGCTTGCATGCAAAAGAGATTTGTCGCGAACCAGTACTGGGTCTAAATGTACTAGAGGCGCGCCAGTTTAGAACTAGAGATTTTCCCCACAGGGTATGTGAACAAATTTAATATACCTTTGTGCACAAGTGCGCTCGGGTATAAAAATCGCCACACACAAATATTGCCACTGATAAAACTAACACATATTTGGCAAACAAAACGACGTATTGTAGGCAATAAGTCTCGCCTCTGAAGACGCGTCGTTAGCTAGTCTTTTAGTGTTCATTTGTAATACGGCCTTCCTACGGCACCGTGAATACTTTGTTCGCTCCTACAATTATGATCGCGAATGACCCCATACTACACTTTAAAATAGTGCTGCACTGAAAATCTGTTGTTAACTGCCGATTCTGAGTTAACTACGCACTGTGAATTTGGCCTTAAGTGTTTAGAATTCAACAAACAAATTTCAAATTTGGTCTACGCCACACATTTGGTAAGTAAAAGTTAAAAAGCAGTATTTAAATTGATTAACACGGTGTGCAAATTTGCATACATTTTGGGAGGGAACTGGCTACCTTTTTGAATATGCTTAAATTTAAACAAAAATTTGTGTATTTGTATTTGGAGCTTTTCGGCCGGTGTGTTGAAAATAAAAACAAAGTTTATTTTTTTCTCCTACGCGTTTCGACGCATTTTCGCGTAATCTTCAGGAAGTCTGTTTATTAATTTGCAAAAACGAAAAACATTATTAGTAACAAGCAGCGCTTACAAGCCAAACCAGATGTGTCAGGTTTTTCTTTTTTGGGGAATCTGTAACTTCATCAGCGGTTTTCGATTTAATTTCTGTAATTCATTTTTAATACTTTCTTCTGCGACTGGTTTGAAAAATGTGTGCTTATAGCGAGCTAAATAAGTGGATATGAAAAATAAATTATTATTTTCCAGGAATGAAAATTTTGAACAAAATTTTGTTTTCAAAGTCGTGGCTGCCAGCCGAATCGGATCAGAATATTGTTATTTAAAAAAAAGCACCCTGTTTTTTATAAGCATTTGAATCTCAGATAGTTACGTAATTCTTATCTTATTAAAGGTCAGACCTATAGTTTTTTAATTATTTCAGCATCGATTATCTTTATAGCAAGACGTTGATCATTTCTGCTGGAAATCCCTATTGAAGGAGCTTTCTCTTTGACTTTAAATAGCAAAGAGGGGACAGTTTTACCGCAGAAGTTTTTAGCCAAGGATCCAATGTATATCCCTATGAAAAAAATATTGCTCGACAAGTAAACAAAATTACTGCTAAAATTTTTGCTAAAAATAAATTCCCCAAAGAGCCCCATTTGAAATTATTGAAACGAATATATGGAACATCAAAAGGAAATCACGAAAATTTGGTTAGGAATTACAGTGCACACTTTCTTCTTTTGTGTCTAGTAGTTTTTTTAAGATTGGTCCAAAAAATCATAATTAAGAAAGAAAGCAATGCAGGTTTAAAGCACAGAAAAAACATTGTTAAAAAGACTATGTTCTCTTCGACGTACGTCAAAGGTCAAGTAGATGTTGGAACTTGTATAGCTGCCCATTGCTCGGTTATATAGCTTAAGAAATAATATGTTTAAAGAAATTTTTATTAGTAGTTGATAAATATGGCATTTGACCAATTTTGTTACACAAATACTCCCACGACCACAGGCAAAAATATTGGCTATAATTTGTAATTTTGTATGCCATATATACGTTTTATCAGTGCACTTGCACAACATTCGCATTCGCAAAAGCTCCGCATTTGAAATTAATGCGGAAGCTCCGCGGTGGTGAATGCGAATGCGAATATTCGCAACAACCCTGCTACGGATGTGTGTGAATTTGTATCACTGATCGATGCTGATTGGCAATGATACTGAACTGATACGGCACTGATTTGCGAAGATAGACCTTAACTTTTATTATTATCACCAATCGATTACAATACATTATATGTACATACGTATGTACTAGGGTTACAATGGCCGGTCAGATGAATTATGGATACTAATAGAGGCGAAATTCTTCCCCTGAAGAGGTTTTCCCATTTGAGTTTCAATACGGTTTCTCCTTAACTTTTACTACGTTTATGCGTAGGCTAATTCACGAATTCATTTCATGAATTTGTGCTAAAATTGGCTGCATAAACACCATTTCATGAATTCAGTTATACACGAAAGTTAACCATGAATTCGGCATCATATCATGAAATCAAGAAATGCAAGTCCGACAACGCCACGTTTCACAAACAGCTGTTTACTAGGGTTATGATGTTTTTGGATTAAAAAGCATGAATGGCATAAACAGGATTTACAACACTGGAAAAGTTACGTGGAATTGTTCAAATATATAATAAATTCAAATA